GAAGAAATTCTATTTCTGCAGAGAAATTAGTTAGCATGCTTCCTGCTGTAACGCTGGGTCGCCCCTCTTTTTCCTCCACAGCTAGACAAATTTATTGCCTGTGTGTAATTTGCTCAGCTGTGGGGTCCAAAAGCACTTACTCCTTCTACTTCTCTTAAATGGACTTATTTTATGTTCAAATGTCTCATTGTCCTTTTGCAAGAGGGCTGAGTCTGGAGGTCACCTGGGGAAGGACTCATTTGCCCATTGATTTGGCATGTTTACTGTTGGCACTGGTTGCTGGGGATAGAAGGATGAATATGACTGCTTTTAGTGTGGAGAATGGGTGGACGTGAATAATTACAGGACAAGGCTGGCGGGCTCAGCGGTGCATGGGGCTGGGAGGAAGAGCACACTTGGGAACAGACGCCAGGGAAGGTTTTCCGGAGTGGGTCATGCTGAGTTGGTTTTGTGGCTGTCACGGGAAGATGGTAGATGGATGCATACATGTTTCTGAGACTAAAAATTGAACCGAGAGATATTTTTCTTGTTTGTGGCATCTCATCCTGGTGAGAATAGGAATTCTCTGAGAGTAGGCGCTGAATCCATGCTCCGAGTGGACTCCAGGATGCTGGGCAGAGGCCCAGGGCAGGGGGGCAGCTGGGCGGGGCATGGAGCAGCCAGGTTGTCTGGCTTTGCGTCCCTAGCCGAGCAAAGCTAGGCAGGTTTACTTAAACTGTCTGGGCCTTAGCTACAGGGCAGAGGCAATGCTAGTGTCTGCCTCATGAGGTATTTGGGGGCATTCAAGAACAACAACAAAAACCAGAACGTAGAACCATGCCTGGAATACTGTAAACATTCTCCAGGGACGTTGGCTGACGGCCCCATCTGCTCCATCTGCAGTTGTACGCTGTTGAGGACAGCCAGGCCGACAGCGCGCCAGCCTCACGGTGGATTCAGCCCAGCACACCACTACTGCCCTCTTGATGCTGCTTCATTATTCCTAAACGGTGCGTGGGCTCAGTCCTCCTCCAAGTCCACCAGTAACTTCTGTTTTGTTGATGATGTTCTTTTTGTCAGTTGAAGGGAGACCTGGGTGCTGTCCCTGAGCTCTTTTGCTCAAGGCTAGTGCTCTACCACTTTGAGCCACAACTCTCCTTCCGGTTTTTGAGTGGTTAATTGGAGATAAGAGTCTCATAGGGACTTTTCTGCCCGGGTGAGCTTTGAACTGTGATCCTCAGAGCTCAGCTTCCTGAGTAGTTAGGATTACAGGTGTGAGCCACAGGTGCCCAGTGATAATGCTTTTATAAGTGATCATTAATATGTCTCTGTCTCTGTCTCTCATACTCTGTCATACTGGGGCTTGAACTCAGAGCCTGGGCACCACTGTCCCTGAGCACTTTTTTTTTTTTACTCAAGGCTAGCACTCTACCACTTGAGCCACAGCTCCACTTCTAGCTTTTTGGTGGTTAGAGATAAGAGTCTTACCACCTTTCCTACCTAGGCTGGCTTTGAGCCACGATGCTCAGATCTCAGCCCCCTGGGGAGTTGTGGGTACCTGGCAGATGTTTCTCCTAGAGGGTTGTGGCTTCCATGTTGAGGGGTGCACAGGTGGAGCCCAGGGCTTCTCCCACCTCGTTTCTGTCCACATTAGTCTCCCTGTCTACTGGTTTTTCAGGAGGACTAAGGCTCAGAGATTGTTAGGTTTCCTGATAGAGTTTGGGCAGGCGGTAAACAGAGTCCCATTTGGGATGTTCATTTAGTCTGGAAAGGGGGAGTGGTTTAAAAAACCTCTCTTAAGAGGTTTTTTAAACCATGCGTGCACCCCACCTTCCACACAGCTGGCCTGGTCTTTAAGCCAGGGGGGGTAGGGACAAGTGTTTACAGCTTGTCTCTGCAAACAACAACAAGAACAAGGAAGGTTAGATTTACGTTTGCCTATCTCCTTGGTGTAAATCCTCCCGCCATGGCTGATTTAAGGCTACCAGTGTGATGCGGCTGCATGTGGACTTGGGGAGAGATGTACAGAAGTTCACTCCCATGTAGTATCCCCACTGGGCAGCTATGGTAGGTCAGTACAATCGCACGGGTAATAGTAAAACAGAAGATTAGCTAGCAAGTGGTGGATTTTAAGTATTTGTTACTATGTTTTTAAAATATAATTGTGAGCTTACATAACTTGATTTTCAGCATCAACTGTGTTTAATAACAGCTCCCCGAATTCCTGAAACGTTACCAGTTGGCTCTCACGCTATGGAATGAGTCAGCTCCAGCACCCCTCCATTCCCCCCCACCCCAATCCCCCGGGTATATCATCCCATCATCAGCTCTGTGATCTCTTCCAAATGGTGCCTCTCACATCACAGCTGAAGCTGTGCTCTGCTGGGAGAGGGGGCTGCCTTTATACACACTTCCTTCTCCTCCAGAGTCATGTGCTAATGCCGAATGTATGGACACACGTCTCCTGCTAAGACCTGTCCATCCTCCCCACCGCCTTACACGCTCCATCAACACCTCGGTGGATGGGGCTGGGAGGGTGGCTCAGTGGTAGAGCGCTTGCCTTGCATACATGAGGCCCTGGGTTCGATTCCTCAGCACCACATAAGCAAAAAGAAAAAAGCCGGAAGTGGCGCTGTGGCTCAGGTGGTAGAGCGCTAGCCTTGAGCTGAAGAGCTGAGGGACAGCACCCAGGCCCAGAGTTCAGGCCCCATGACTGGACCCCAATAAAACAAAACAAAACAAAACAAAAAAACCCCCACCTTGGTGGAAACCTAGAAACATGCAGGTAAAAGGGGAAATAAAAGAGGAAAGAAAGGGGCTGGGAAGGTGGCTCAGTGGTAGAGTGCTTGCGTTGCCTACATGAGGTCCTGGGTTCGATTCTTCAGCACCACATAAGCAGAAAAAGCTGGAAATGGTGCTGTGGCTCAATTGGTAGAGCACTAGCCTTGAGCTGAAGAGCTGAGGGACAGCGCCCAGGCACAGAGTTCAGGCCCCACGACTGACAAAAAAAAAAAAAAAAAAGAAAGCTGGGTGTTGTTGGCTCAGGCCTCTAATCCTAGCTACTCAGGAGGCTGAGATCTGAGGTCTTCAGTTTAAAGCCAGCTGGGGCAGGAAAGTCCACGAGACTTATTTCCAATAAACTACCAGATTCCCAGAAGTGGTGCTGTGGCTCAAGTGGTAGAGCGTTCACCTTGAGCTGAAGAGCTCAGGGACAGTGTCTAGGCCCAGAGTTCAAGCCCTTCAAGTGGTAGAATACCAGCCTTGAGTGCAAAAAGTGAAGGGACAGCACTCAGGCCCTGAGTTCAAGCCCTAGTACAGACATTCGAAAGACAAGGGATAGAGAAGAGAAGAAACAAAGCGGGAGAGGACTCTATGACGAAGATGGAGACCTTAAAAGGGGCCCTGCAAGCCTAGTCACTGCTATGTTCCCCCATCTGAAGGCCAAATGGCAGGACACCAGGCGACCCAGTGTGCTGGGTGGACAGTTCGCCTTGCTGGAGTCCCTTGTTCTAGCCCGCAGCCCAAACTGGCGCCGGCAGGGTGAGCATGGAGGCAGGAGACAGCTCTGTAGACGATCTGCAATGTTGACAGGTGAGAAGGGACTCTGTTGGCAATGTGGACACCGGGGACCCCCAGATCCCAGACCACCTCCTAAGGAGTTTGGATGACAACCTGGCAGTTAATCTCAAAATGGCAGCTGGGAGATGTTAACTCTCCCTCTCTAGTTGGGATAGGGTGCTTTTAAAAACAAATAGGTATTTTCCAATGCCCTTAGTTAGACTTCTAGCCCAGATGCTCTGTGTTTGAAGTCTGTTGATCGCTCCAGGCCCAGCTGAGCCCTGCTGGCCCTGCCCCCTGCTGAGGAAGGCCCCAGAGAGATGCCTGGAGGAGCTGAGGCCCCGGGACTGCAAAGGACAACACGCCGGAGATTCCTGAAGGCCTAGGGGGCTGAGAGCCATGCAGATGGCTTTCCAGAGGGACGAATCCTGCCCAGAAGGTGGGCAGCATTTTCACATCATTGTCTCTAATAAACTGGCATCATGAGGACTAGAGCGCTGGACAGTAGCCCTCAGGGCGATTCCATGCCCAGTGACCTGCCCAGGGTGAGCACCTGGCAGGCTGCACTCAACTTGCTCATCTTCCCAACAAAGGCCATGCTACCCTCCTGGGACTGGCTCCGTGGGTTAGGGTCCCCTTGCTGCAGAGAGGTGCCTGGTAATGGAGGGCAGGCCTGGCGGCCTCTCGACTCCCAGGCCAGCACGGGGAGCCCGGACATCTGCTTTCGTACCATCCTTATTATCACCACAACGGAAGAATCAGCCTTGGAAAGAATCTTAGTCGCTAGCGTGGAATGGGTCATCCCAGTGACGCGCCTCCTCCATCCTGCTGCCCTCCCTGACCGTGGGCCATGCCTGGGCCCAGGCTGTCTCAGGGGGGATCCCAGGCTAGCCCCTGGCTGGAGCATAAGTGGTTGGCCCTGGATAGCTGGAGAGGAAGGAAAGTAGGGCTCCCCAGAAACTGCTGCCAGCTACCTTCCTGAAGGCTGTCCTTCCAGGTGGTTCCTTGGGACTGAGGGAGAACTGGGTTCAAGTCCTGCTCGGCACGCACAGGCCACATGACCACAGGCAAGCCTCCAAATGTTGCCCACTCAAAGGCCCAGATGAGGATAACGGGAGGCAGGGTGCACGGGGCCACGTGCGGAGGCAGGTGCTCTTCCATTGCCAGTTGGTACGTTGTTTGGTGAGCAGAGGCTCTAGAAGGCTGAAGGCAGTCCCTGAGTGGCTGAGACACAGCGCCGATTGAGGTTAGGAGTGGGGTAGGACGGGCCGGGAGGAGGAGGATGTGGCTGGAGGGGCAGGAGACCCTGTGCTGGCTGCAGGCGCTGTCCAGGTGGGAGAATGAGACCCCAGAGGAGGAGCACACTGACGTCTGGGCCGGGCCAGCCTGGTCCTGGGCCGCCCCTCCCCACCCGGTCAGCTCCCACCGTGGCCCGGTCCCCGGGGGCTCTGCTGTGTACTCACCCAGAGCGACGTGCTGCTTGTGCCGCTGGGTGATTTCTTCCTTCAGACGGCCTGTGAAAGGCAGAGGAAAAGTGCCAGTGAGTTTCCAGCGGACCGGAGGGAGAGCTCCCTTTAGAAGCAGTGGCCAACTGAAAACCAAACCGTTAACGAGGCAGAGAGTAGGAGGGGTGAGAGCAGCCTCAGCCTCCAGGACGGACACCAGGCCAGACCTCGGGTTGTGGTGGAAGGGGAGGTGACAGAGGGTGTCCCGGCACATCAATGCAAACACCGTTCACCCTCACCTTCTGCCATCTTGGAGTTCCGTTATTGGTCACTAGGCTAGGGTCCTACTCTCTCATATTATTATTATCATTGTTACTATTATTTAGTCCTGGGGCTCGAACTCAGGATCTGGACACTGTCCCTGAGCCTCTTTTGGTCAAGGTTAGCACTCTACCACTTGAGCCACTTCTGGCCTTTTCTGTTTATGTGGTACGGAGGAATCAAACTCAGGGCTTCATGCATGCTAGGCAAGCACTCTACCCCTAAGCCACCTTCCCAGCCCTAATGTTTTATTATTTTAGTGAAGGGAAAGAGAGCATTTAGTCTTTTAATGCCCTAGGGAACTCCCTTTAAATCCACATCTTTCTTTAACTTACACAAAACTATGCTAAGCATCCAATATGGTGGGCTTAGCTGACAACCATTTTGACCGTGGATTATTAGGTATGAAACTCAAAGAATTCTAGGTTGTATTCAGCAGGCTATAGGATGTAGAGCCAAGGGAGGTGATTGTTCCAAGGTACCCTGCGGTGGTGACATCACAGTTGTCCTGGAAGCTTCCTCTGTAAGAAATACCAGCAGAAGAAAAATTCAGAAGATGGATGGTGACGGGGCTGAAGTCATGCCCTGTGAGGAATAATCTCGGGTGACCTGAGTTATGGAGACCAGAAGAAAGGACTTGGAGGAAGGACGGGTCCAGAGATGTCTGTCTTTGGATATCTGAGGGTTGTCATGTGAATGGGAGAACAGATAGCTTTTGTCTTACTCCTGTGGGCAGAAATCAAGTCAAAAGAAGGCTCAGCTGGGGGCTGGGAAGGTGGCTCAGTGGTAGAGTGCTTGCCTTGCATGCATGAGACCCTGGGTTCGATTCCTCAGCACCACATAAGCAAAAAAGAAAAAAGCCAGAAGTGGTGCTGTGGCTCAAGTGGTAGAGCGCTAGCCTTGAGCTGAAGAGCTGAGGGACGGCGCCCAGCCCAGAGTTCAGGCCCCATGACCGGACCCAGCTGAGGGGAAAAAAACCCCAACAAACAGCTCCTGACAGGTACTGTTTCAAGGTGGATTAAGTTGTCTCAAGATGGACTAAATGTCTCCACACAGGAGGGGACTCTTTCCCGAGTGCTGGGCGACCATCTGTTGGGCTGTGAGGGAGAAATTCTTGCTCCGGTTAAGATTTGAGTTGCAGTGACCTCCGGGCCACCCTCTGTCTCTTAAGTCTCTAAATCCTACTATTCCGTGCATGAAGCATGGGCCAAACAGCAGCCCTGGGGTTTGTTTACGTCCCTGGGTTGAGCACACTTGTTAACATGTCAGCGCTGTCTGTGTTGCTGGTTGGTCCCATGTGAGCAGGCCCCAGAGGGATTCTGGGTAGGAGTGGGAACTTCCCTGCCCCTGGCCCACTGCGTTGCTTTCCTCACACACAGCACATTCTACACCCCCAAGGGTACAGAGGAGCAGGCAATGGGTGGTTGTAGCAGTTCTTGTCATTCAACACACTTGGTCAGTGTTACACTGGGAAGAATGGCAGAGGTGATTTAGGGTCACTTTCCACCCAGTTTAGGAATCCACTCTACGGACTGAAAGGCCATGTCTCTTGCCTTGTACATAGCCAGGTTGCTCCGTGGATGAAGCTGGGTGGGAGTTACTGCTGGTGCCTGCTTCCTGGTGGTCCAGTCACTGGCTGCCTTGTTCTTTAAGCCAGCCAATAGAAAAGGATCTCTCACTGGCACAGAGAGAGATCTTCCCCTAGCTGAGAACACCATATTTCCTCTGGGTTAAACATTACCGGTCCTGCACGTGCCCCGGTGACTCACTCCTGTGGCTACTCAAGAGGCTGCGAGCTGAGGATTGTGGTTCGAAGCCAGCCAGGGTAGACTTATCTCCAATTAACTACTCAGAAACTGGAAATGGTGCCATGGCTCAAAGTGGTAGAGTGCCAGCCTTGAGCAAAAGAGTTCAGGGTCAGCACCAGGCCCTGAGTTCAAAACATTGACAGTCCTTCAGCAACGGGGCCATTGCCTCTAGGCATGCGATAGTTCAGGGGAGGCCCTGGGGCACCTGCCTGTGTGCTCCTTATTTATTTATTTTGTGCTGGTCCTGGAACTCAGGGCCTCTTGTACTCACTTGGCCTTTTCTGTTGAAGGCCTGGCGCTCTACTACTTGAGCCACATCTCCACTTCTAGCTTTTCACCAATTAATTGGAGATAAAAGTCTCAACAGTTTTCCGCTTGGCTGGCTTATCCTCATTTGTCAGCCTTCTGAGTAGTTGGATTACGAGTGTGAGCTGCTGGTGCCCAGCTGCTGAACTGAGTTTTTAAAACCACGCACGCGCGCGTGCGCACGTGCACACACACACACACACACTTCAAATGCAACAAATACGGCACACCATTATAGAAATGTCTCTCCCTCTGGGAGCAGGTCATCTAGGATTTTCTCGTCTTGACAGACGAGAGAGCCAGCCAGTGACGCTTTGGGGCCCTGCCTGTTCTTTGGGTATGCTGTGCACCTCACAAGTGCCTGGGAGCCAGCTTGGCTGGGGACTAGCTCCTGTGGGACAGGCAGCGGATTGTGTCCTCGCTGGACAGTGACTTTGCTGACCACTGCCTCCTGTAGTGTGCGCCCAGTCTCACCCTGGCCATTGGAAGTAGCCAGCAGTGTCCAGCCTAGCACACGGCAGCTTTCTCTGTGCTAATTAGAAAGACTCTTTCCCCCTACCTCCCCCCAAAGCCCAGGAAGCTTGTTGGGCACAAGAGGGTGCAGGATTCTCCATGGCCCTCCGCCTGACTGAGAATTCTACCAACTCTGTACGTACAAAAACCGATGCTCAGAATAACGAGACATTCCTACAGGACAAGGGATGGGTCTTTCTAACGTTCCCCGCTGACGAAAGTCATTGTGAAGTTAGTGATGCTCAATTTTGGCAAACCCACTAGTGTCTCCCACCATCTGGTAATCTTTTGAGATAGCCTAAATACGTTTCTACAAATAGCCTCACAGCGGGCGCAGGACTGCCTTTGCCAGCAGAGCCATTCTTCACGTGAAGATAAGTCACCGCTGCAATCTGCCGGATCTTGCGGCTCCCCAGGTTTTGGCAAAGGAAGGAGCTGCCGGGTGGGGGTGGGTGAGGGGGTGTTGCTCACAGAATCTACCCAGCAGGCAGCCTGCTGTCATGACCACAGTGATAAGTGTGCTGGTTTTGGCCTGGGTTCTTGGCCACATCCCCATCTGGAGGTATGGAAAAGAGATGAAGCAGAAACAGAGACCGCCCAGCCTGAGGCAGGGGACAGACTGGGAGGGAAGCAGGGAATCCAAATTGGGGGTTAACCTGAAAGGGGGTGGGGGGGGTGGGAAGAGAAGGGCTCTTCCTAAAGGAGATTGTGGGTAATTAGTAATTTTTCCTCTAGTAACTTAGGACAGCACCTGGCACAATTATAGGCTGCATATCACAACACTCCCCCCTTTATAGTTTGTCACCACACCACCACCACCACCATCATCATCATCATCATCATCATCATCATCTTATTATTATTATTATTTGTGGTTTGTGCTGGTATTCATGATGGAATTCAGGGCCTGGTCACTGTCTATTAGCTTCTTTTGCTCAATTCTAGTGCTCTACTATGTGAGCCACAGCTCTACTTCCAGCTTTTTGGTGGTTAATTGGAGATAAGAGTCTCATGGACTTTCCTGCTTGGCCTGACCTTTTTTTTTTTTTCCCCAAAGTCCTAGGGCTTGAACTCAGGGCCTAGGCACTGTCCCCGAGCTTCTTTTGCTCAAGGCTAGCACTCTACCACCTGAGCCACAGCACCACTTCCAGTCTTTTTGGTGTATGTGTTACTGAGGAATTGAACCCAGGGCTTTGTGCATGCTAGGCAAGCACTCTACCACTAAGCCACCTTCCCAGTCCTTGGGCTGGCTTTGAACTGCATTCCTCAGATCTCAGCCTACTGAGTAAGCTCGGATTAAAGGTGTGAGCCATCAGCATCTGGCTCAATACTTGGAATCAGGCTTTTGCGCTTGCCTGGCTGGCTTGCTGAGCAGGTGCTCCACCATCTGAACCATGCCTCTAGCCAGTTCATTACTGGATGGACTGGGTAGCAGGAGGGGCAGAGAGGGAGCTCCAGAGGAGACTCGTAGCCTTGAGAATAACCTTGACCAGGCGTGTGGGAGTCGTGAACCGTCTAGGGCAAGCTTTCTCTGTTACCGTGCACGTCACAGGAAAAGCCTTACCCACATGGGGACGCAAACCTGGAATTTGGATGTCTCTGCTCAGCTTGGGGATGCAACAGTTCTCCCTTACACCCCATGCTTGGTTTTGCACACTTGCTCGATCGCTTGAGGTCACTCACAATGTGTGAGGACTGCCTGGCCAGCCCAGAGGAGAGCCGCTCGCGGGTGATTCCCTCGCACGCCGCGGCAGGCTGTCCCCGTGGCTGGTAGAGTACGGTGCCATATCACAGATGCGTATGCCACTACCCAGTCATACGCACAGATCGCTCGATTACTGGATACCGAGCGCTATGTTTCATATGCAACCTAGTAGGAAACCCATTCTAGCCTAAGAATGTTAGGATAGCACAGGCATCAGTGACTACGTGACAGTATGCTGTAGCTCAAAAGGCTGAACCCTGCCCTCCTCCAGCGCGCCTGGTTGTTAAGTTTATTGTTCGTTACTATAATGGAACACCAGAGGCAGGCTAACTCTAGCAGGAAAAGGGGGTTGAATGTAGCCCATGGTTTTTGAAAGCTGAACATCCAAATGCGACGGCATGGGTTCTGGAGAGGTC